GGCAACCTGAGCCAGTGCCTCAGCACCCTTATTTATTCCTAATATTTAATCTAAATCCTCCCCTCTGTCAGTTTAAATCCATTCCCCCTTGTCCTGTCACCACATGCCCTTGTAAAAAACCTCTTTCTAGATTTCTTGTAGCCCTTTTAGGCACTGGGAACTGCTCTAAGGTCTCCCCGGAGCCTTCTCTTCTCCAGGCTGAACAAGTCCAACTCTCTTAGCCTGTCTCCATAGCGGAAGTGGTTGAATGAAGATGTGATGCTGCAGATGAATGACAGGCAGGAGCTGAAGGGAGGCTATTAAAGGGCTAGGTTTAAAAAAAAAACACAAAAAGTGCCATGTTCTCAGGAGGTTCTGCTGATCTGGGATCAAATAAATGCAATGCTGCTTCAGCAAGGGCTGAACCTCACATTCTGGCTGCTTAAATGCTTTCTGTAGTGCAGAAGATTGCAACAGCGGTAACAGAAGTCTCCTTATTCCAAGCAGAATAAGGGTCAAAGCTATGTTTGACTGAAAGAAGAGAGAACACTGGAAAGAGCATGGCCTGGACTCTGCCTCCAGGAGTTGTCTCATTTGAGGCTTTCCAAAACACTCTCTTGGCCCAGAGATTTTTCCAGATGTGCAGAGCAGGTTCAGTGCACAGTGCTGGTGCTTTCTCATTTCCATCAGCAAAAAGATACCCCCCAAACATTTTACATGGTTTTTTAGAGTTGTTTCTCCCATAGGAAAGAGTTTTGTACTGCTAATAGGGAGGTTATGTGACTGTCAGTGGCAAAGGGACTTTCTAAAACTGAGTTGCCGTGGTTGAACATCTTGTATCAGCTGATGTGTTGTAGCTGTCCATTCCCTGCTCCTATCTGCAATAAATACAAGGTAGTAACACTTTATTCAGTGAGACTTTATGCTGTTACAGACAGTGACCTTGAGCCTTAATCTCTGTCCATCAGATAGGTTCTTTATTAAGAACTTTACTGCTTGTTTGTATTGCAACCATCAGCCTGTCTGGTCCCCATAGTGTGCACTCTGATGCAGATACAAGCTCGATTTGTGTTAAAGGCTTTTCTTCATTCCCCAAAGTGTACTCTGCAGCTAAATAAAACCAGTGGTCAGGAAACTTGTCCTCATATTGAAACCAGTGGGTATTATTTTTAAAACCCTGGGCTAAAGATATCCCCCAAGTATTTTATGACATGAACCCCAGGAGAAGGTTTCTCTTCATATACCAGCACAAAGATGGACAAAATGTATTTTCTGCTTTAAAAAGCTTTAAGCTTTTGTCCTCAAAACTAAATTTTTGCCCAGAGAGTGTCAGATTAACAAGCAAGAACAGAACAAAATATCCCCTTAGTGTTTCACAGCATGGGGTCTAGAAGAGAAACCTTGGGGTCAGTGTTGAAGACTGTCCTTACCCGTGTTCAAGCCTGTCACTTGACTGATTTTAAAGCTGTCTTTGATTGGCTGCTTCTTCTCTCCCAGCTCTACATGTGGCTTCCCAGCCCTGGCATCGATTCCTGCTCTTCACACTACTTGACGGGGGCCAGAAGTCCTTTCTGCAGCCAGAAGTGCTCAGGCTGATGACGTTGGTGAGCAGGGAAGGGCAGGCAGTTCTCCATTTTCCCCACGATGTTGGTACACTGCATGTGGATCAGTTACTGGAACTTGCCCCCTATGCACACACAAGTCTCAGATACTGCTGGGGCTTTGTCTGGCACTGTATTTGTGCCCCATAATAATGATACTTTGAAGTGAACTTCCCTTCCACACCCTGCAGAAACTGACTGCTATCAGCGAGCAGGTCCTGTTCTTCTGGTGTTTGTAGCACTTATTTATAATGCCTAGGACCCCTGGGGAGGAGAGGGGAAACTTGCAGAGGGCATGTAACTGCTGTTACCAGTCAGGGAGCATGCTGCAGCTCTCTGGAGCGCAGATTCTGCTCAGCCTCACAGCTTGTCTCCCCATCTTTGGCCTCACAGATCTGACTGCTTAGGGCAGAGAGTTACCACAATCTACTACCCTGCTGTATGTGGGGCCTGCAAACAAGAGAGGGAATGTGGTCCTGCCCAGCAGAAATACTGAAGTAAAGCCCTCATGACAGTGGATGAGAGGAATGGGTTATTAATGTGAACCTTCCCTCTCCAAATACAAGATAGGTCTGTGAATATTTGCTATTCTTATTTCACTTTTAAAAGGTTACCTGATTAATTTCAGTTCCTTACCTAAACCAAAATAAACGTGGTAATAAATCAGAGCACCATCAACACAGGTATTTGCACTGCTTCTGGGAGAAGCGGTGTAAAAATCAGGCCAGGGGATAAGGTACTGCAGCATCTCATGAAATAGGAGAGGTCTTTCCAAGGACCTGAGTCACTGTTGGAGTCTGTAGATCTTTCGCTATTTAATGCCTCTATTTTTCTCCTTTGTTCAAGTTTCTGAGATATAAAAGCAGCAATATTATTTCTCAAAAAGAAATTAGCCAGATTCTCCAGGAGGCAGCAGAAGCCAACTTGGCAGAGCTGCCTGAGGCCACATCTCATGCTCTTTGCCTCTTCCTTTGTCAGGTAAGAGAGCAGTGACTACCTAGGAAAATGAAAAGGGAATCCCTAGGGGCTTGCTTTAGCCTTTTGATGTGGAGCCATAAACTTCCTTTTGAGGAGGTTATAGTAAGATGAAGAGGAGTCCTGCAGCTGCTAGCTTGGCCTACAGCCTTGAGTGTCCAGAGGAATTGGAAAGCGAGTGATGCCAGCAGCTGCCTAAACTGTGTCATCAGATCAGGTGGCCCCTTAATTCTCCCCTGGATCAAAGTTTGAAGGTCTCACTGCTGTCTGTGGAGATGAGGGAGGGAAGGAGGGATGAAGGAACAAGCCCAACAGTCTGCTGTTGGTCTGGAAATCATTTTTTCTTATGACTGCTCAGATTCAGAGCAGTCAGTTCCAGGTGGAGCCAGTGCAGGCAGGGACCATTCAGACCTTGCTGGAGCGCCTTCTGGGACAGAGGACCACATCTGTAAAACATCAGGACATTGTGTATCCTTTGCTGGGCAAGATGCCTCTGGTAGGGGATGGGAGAGTGGTAGGTGAGACAGAGGGAGGAGATACTTGATCTGCTGCTCCTTCCCTTGTTCCAGCTGAAGGAAAACAGAATTGGAAAAACTCAGAGTGGTTGTTACACTTGGCTAGCTTTGGGATTAAAGACTTCATCATCCCTAAATTGAGAGGACATTTGGGAAATAAGGAGACATTTGAGATGAAAGATGGGTCTCTGTGCTGGGATTGCATTCACCTACATGGCAGAGTGGCCTGAGAAAGGGGAGCAGGCTGGGGAGCCTGGGACTTCAAAGCAGTAATGATCTGATATTGATTTCCCTGGGGATGAACAATTACCTAACCCTGTCTGTGTGCTACCTGGTGCAGTATGCCTGTGGAGTCATGGAAACCCAAAGATGATTTGAGCACTTGCAAAGGACAGTGAGCATTCAGAAACCACTAAGTTACCGAATTGTGTTCTGCTTGGCCTTAGAGTCCCCTGCTGAGAACTGAATCCTCCTCTGCTCCAGGGATGTAAGTAGGGGCTGCCCCCAGATTACTTGTGGAGAGAGACAGAGCCTGAGGCAGTATCTGTTTAGTTCTCAAACTGCTTTTGCCTTCCTCTTTTCATCACACCTCATTGCCTCAGACAGATGGCAGTGATGGAGGTGGCCGCAGCAGGGATTTCCTGTTGGGGTGGGGACTTCCTCCTCTGCGGGACACCTTCATCAGCCATGTGCAGGCGATGTGGTGGGTGAGAGGTGCTTGTCATCTGCAAGGAGCAGGTTGTCCTTGTGCTTACCCCCAGTGTGATGCTACCGCTCTGTGGTGGGATGCCTGGAGCACAGGTTGTCCAGGTGGAGACCATCCAGCCCCGTGAAGTTCCTCTCCACTGCATCTGCTTGTCTGCATGGGGGTGAGGGAAGGTGAACGGGAGGTCACATTACATTGCTCAAGTTGCTTCCTGTTTCTGGCTTTTCTTATGAAGAAGCCTTCAAATCTCAGTTGTTAGGAAGGGGTTTGGATGTGCTCCAAGTGCAGCCATAGTGGCTACCTGAACAGTCATGTTCTGGAAGTCAAAATCATCTGGTCAAAAATAAGCTTTGACATCAGTTTTGTGACAAAGGAACTTCCTTCAGGCTCACTGAAACACTGGTGTTTCTCGTACATGTTGGCAGTGGGGTGGGTGTTCTATGGCTTGGGGGAGGTTTGGTTTAGTAATGAAACCCTTCTGTCAGCACTATGTCAAATGTGGGAATTCCCATGGCATGGTGGAGTTTCAGCTATGCCTTCCATTCAGTTTCTACTCATGCCATCAATGACAGATGCCTGGGAGGTGTGGCAGTGTCCCTGTCACACATTGGAGACTGAGATGAGAAGATGTGGTGCACCCAGCCAGAGGAACAAGGCAAGAATGGAACAGGACACTCCATCCTGTCATTTATTTCCAGTCAGAAGCAGAGAGGAGATGGACAGAAGTCATGTGTAGTTCATTCTCAGAAAAAGGTTTGTTGAAAATCGGTTATAAAGCCAAGTTACTGAACTGCCTCTTCATGTCCTTTTCTCTGTGGGATACGGCTTAGTTGATGCTCTTCAGTTACCGGAGCATGGACCTTCCTGGTGCAAGCGTTGCCATCGGGGGATGCGAGTGCAGTGGAAGATGCTCCCTGCTCATTCGCCTTAGCTGGCGGTGCTGCGGGTTCCTCTGGACTGGCTAGGGGTGCTGGGGTGCTCGGTCAGACCCCCCGGCTGGGGGCAGACGTGCTGCTTGCACCACTGGGAAGAGGAGACTTCTTCCAGTTCACTGCTGGTCCCTCGGGCTACATCCCCGCACCGCCGCTTGCCTGTTGCCTCCTGTAAGTGCCCCACTGGGGCTCTAACTAACGCGGCTCCCTCCCCCGCAGAGCCGGGGGGGACCCTCCAGCCCCGGGTGAGAGGACAGAGGGACGCGCCTCCCTCCAGCCCCGCCGGGGCCGGTGCTGGGGCGGAGCGGGAGCTGAGGAAGTGACACGGTGGGGCGGGGCTGGGCAGCGGCGGCAGCGGCATGGCAGCGCGGCGGGCGTGAGCGCCGCTCCCGGCACCGGTACCCGCTACCCGGCCCGCAGGTGAGGGGCCCGGCCGCACCGCGCCGCCGTACGGAGCAGCGGGGAGCCCTGCCCTGCTCTGCCCTGGCCTGGCCTGGCCGGGGAGGGTCTCAGCGGGGCCGGGGGGGCTGGGGCAGGCCGGGGGCTGCGCTGGAGCACGGCGAGCGGGCAGGCGGTGGCCGCAGCGCCCCGGGGACACCGCGGGGGGAAGGAGGGAGGGAAGGATGGGGGGAATCCGCCCGTGCCGCCAGCGTGGCCGAGCCGCGGGTCCCGGCTGTGCTCCCGGCCGGAGGGCTCTGCCACTGCCGCCCCGCGCTGGGGCTGCGTGAGGAGCACAGCGGCGGCAGCACCGGGAGGCAGCTTTCCTCTCCTCTCCGTCCTGTCCCGTCCCGTCCCGTCCCGTGGGTTTGCACTCTGCGGTGTGCTGCCTGCTGCGGCCGCTTGACACGGCTCTGTGGGGCTTCCCCACAGCGCGGCCAGGTTGTCTTGGCTAATCCCATTTCAACATCCCTATCCCCGTGTGGTTGCCGTTACTTTCAGCCATGCTTGAAAGAGAATCCCCATCTCCCGCGGGGTGCTGCTGCTGACCCCCTCCTGCGGGATGGGAGGCACGATCCGTGCCCGTTCTGGATGGAAATCACAGCAGCTCGCTGGGTGCTTAACCCCAGCTGGTGTCCATCCCTGCAGTAGATGAGCTGTGGGTTTGGCAGCGAAGGGACTTTGGAGGGAAGCAGGTGTAAACGGCTTGTTGTTTCACTGAAGCAGCCGATTGTGTTAGATGTGTCTGTGTTAGCAGAAGTGGTCTGAGCAGCCTGTGTTTCTCTTCCAAGGCTTTTGGTTCAGCTGTGACAAGAGAGTCATCCTCATCTGGTTGATGGAGGAGCAGCTCAGGGATGGATTCGTGGGGTGGGGAGTTTTCATCCCTTGTTTGTCCACGGCGTGCTCCTGGGGTGAGCTTCACGGTGGTGCTTTTACCCCTGCAGAGGGGAAAGGGTGTCCTGCAAATTGTTTCTCCTGGGAGCCCGAGTGTGGGAGCTTGGCTCTGCCTGGTGAGCTCATTAAGCGAATAAATCCCAGCGATGCTCGGCTCAGATGGGGCTCCTGCAGGAGATTTTATAAAGTCATTAAAAACATTCTAATGGAAAATACTAACCATCTATAACACAGCATCTGTTGTCGTCTCTGTGGAAAAACACATCTAAATTAAGAGGATGGGAGACAACGGAACAGACTGGTGGGCTTTCTGCTGAAATAACCTGTTGGCCAGGGCTGCGAGGGGAATGTTGGTGGGAACTCCTTCCCATCTGTAGCATCAGGAGAGGCCCTGGCTCCTTAGAGTGCTCTGGGAGCGCCAAGCAGAGCCGGTTTTGACAGGGATTGGTTTAAGGAGGGAAGAGAGGAGCAGCTCTGTCCTGTTTCTGTTCTCTCTTACCCCTCAGCGCATGTGAAGACACGAGGGGAAAGCATGGAGGAGTATCTGCAAGAAGCTTTGGCATCCCTGTGCTTACCCAGTCCAGCCTTGAATGCCCTCTGCTACTAAAATGGGGTGAAACAGGAAGGGCAGTGACAGGGAATGAACTCAAGCTGGTGCCATGTGGGACCAGCAGCCTCACTTACCCTATGGATGGGGGCAACAACTGGCTCCTATTTGACTGTCATGGGGCTGTTTCAGCCCTGATGGATGATGGCAGTAGCTTTGATGTGAGAACAAGTGTCGGCAGGGAGGGGGTCAGATGGAAAGGTGATGGGCAGCTGTATGGCATGGTTCACTGGTCCACTTCTTCCAACCTGGTCCCATGGCACGATCTGCAGGACTGCTGAGGAGGACTTTTAAAGCCATTAAAGCATCCTTATTGAGCACATTATCCATCCATCCTGCTGTATCCGCTGTCATGTCTCTGTAAAAGCCTGTCTCGAGGCTCGGGGGCTGCCAGGCAGGCTGGTGGGATTCCAGCTCCAGCAACCAGCTGGCTGGCAGCTGCTTCGGCTGAGAGCCGTGCTTTGTAACCGGGGCACGCAGCCAGCCCAGCTCTCGCGGCCACGTGTTGGATGCGGGGTCCCAGAGCAGTCACACTTTGTGCTTTGAGCCGCTGCTCTTCCTCCTCCTAAGAGCCTGGGAGGGAGTGAGCAGCTGTGGGGGGCTCTGCAGAAGAGGGCACCCCTAGCCCCTTGCTGAGCCAGGCCTTGGCCCTTGCGTCATGGGTTTTGGCAGCGTGAAGCAGCCTCTTGGAAGCTGACCAGGCTGGTGGGTCTAGCAGGGCATCTGCCTGCCCCGGCTGGAAGATCGGTCCCCACAGCCTTGGCTTTGTGGCCTTTCAGGGTGGCTGGAATATACTGTCAGTGGACAGAGGGGACGGACCCCAGGCCTGGTGTGGGAGGCTTGTGCTGCTGTCCTGGCTCTGCACTGCATCCAGAACACAGGGTGTGATGCTGAGCCTTTCCCTGTAACGCTGGTTGTAGTTACTCTGATCTGTTCCCTTGCAGGGGTGCTGCCTGTTGCAAAGCACAACAGCAAAGTAACGCAGAGGGTTTCTTATGTTCTCCTGGCGATGTTTCCCTGTCTGTGCTGGGCGTACAAGGGCCCTTGGCTCAGCTCATTGGGAGCTGCCACTACTCCTTGTGGGGCTGGGAGAGCAGCCGGTGCTGCAGCTTTGCCTCGCTCCTGGGCCTGAGGCTGGACAGACTTGCAAGGAACCACCTGGATCCGGTGTGGCGAAGGGATTTGTTTGTGTTCCAAGGAGAGAGGCTCGGCCGTGCAGGGGAACGTGGGCTGAGGAGCAGAGCAGGTGTCAGGGTGAGGGCAGTGCTCGTGGCCTTACACATCTGCCTCCCTTGGGAGCAGGAGGCGGCTGGGGGATGCTCTGAGAGCGCTGCTGCTGCTCCCGTGATTGCCGGTGGCCACCGCTTGGGAACACCGTCCCTGTGCACAGGCTGCCCCGAGTCCCACCGCCTGCAGGCTGAGGCGCTCCTCCCCTTTGCAGGGTCTAGGCTATCCCTAGAGTGCTTGCTCTCAAGGACCTTCTCTTGTAGCATCTCTTCTTTGTGTTGTCTGAGGGACCCTCCTGGCTGGGAGCAGCTCAGTCCGGCCGTATTCCTGCAGAAGGGAGGATGTGCGTGGGGAGAGCTGCCACCAGGTCACCCGACTGCTGCTTGTCAGTGTGGGGCCTGCAGCTGGCACCTGGCTTGCAGCAAGGGGAAGGGTCCAGGTGCCAGCACCCCGAGAGGTGGAGATGGCTGAGGTGGCCAAGCCATCAAGGTGCTTGAAGGAGAGGTAGACTGGAGCCCCTTGGCAGCCCTCCTCCACCTTCAGCCCTGCTGCTGCAGCTGCTGGGCTGCTCCGATTTGCAAACCCAGCAAAAAGCCAGTGTTATTTTTGGGAGAAGGGGTAGGGCTCCGCTTTTGTGCTGGGTCAGTGCTCAGCCAGCCCCCCGGGGGCCCAGCCAGCAGTGGAGGCAGGCAGAGAGGAGGGCTGGCTGCAACACAGCCGTCACCCTGCTCTGGCCACTGTCTCCCTTGAGCCCCTCATGGGGACAGGGGAGAGGCAGGCGAGGACCCTAGAGCCAAGGGCAATGTGCTGTCGGCCCTGAGGGGCTCCTGTGGCTGTGGTAAGTCTCCTCACTGGGTTTGTTGGTCTGTTCCATTGCAGGCTGTGGCAGCTGACATGGATCTTCTCTTCCTTTGCCCTGTCCTGCTGGTGCTGCTGCTGTCCCGGGGCAGCTTCACTGACCTGGAGAAACAGAGGGTGGACTCTGGCTTGGAGATCTGTATCCTGCACAGCCTACCCCTCCTGTCCTGTGGATGCACCGTGCCTGCTTGGGGCTGCAGGGAGAGGGGCAGAGACCACCGGAGGAGGGGCAGGATGGAGGGAGAGGGAGGACCCAGAACCACTGAGCAGTGGTCTCATTGCTCATTGTTCCTGGGTTTGCACACCAAGTGCCTGATTCCATGCGGGAGCAGAGATGGGTTTTTCAGTGGTGTTCTCCCGTGCACAGTGCTTTTCCTGTTCACTCCAGCATCCTGGGTGCTGAGCACATTTCCCAGTCTGCTCTTGGGATGGCCAGAGGGGTGGCAGAGCATGCCTGTGCCTTGGGATCACTGGCTGGGATAACAGGACTTGGTCTCCTCTATGCCCCAGACGTTTATTGCCCACAAGGAGATGGGGTAATGCAGGCCCTTCTTAGCATATGGCAGCATCCCCTGGTCAACAGGTGAAGTATGAGAAGATGTGTGCTTGTTGACACATATATGGGGAAGGTGGGAGCTGATCTTCCCCTTCCGCTGTCAGCCAGTGTCTGGCGAGTGGAAAGCTCCCCACGAGCACCTAGTGCTGTTAACTGTCCCACTGGGATGTCTGGGCACAGGGGCTCACTGGAAAACTGTGTGTCATCCTGGCTTAGGCACTGCCCCATCCCTCAGGCACCCCATGGGGTGGTGCTGGGTGCCTGGCTGAGGGAGACGGCGGGAGCGTGGTGGGAATGTGCCGGTGGTGCCCTTGACGACGGTGCAGATAAGAAGCTGTTTGAGGTGAAGCGCAAGGACCAGATGAACGCGCTGAAGAACCTGATCGAGCTCAATGACATCAACCAGCAGTACAAAATCATTGACATCATGCTCAAGGGACTCTTCAAAGTGAGCCACGGCACCCTCTGGGCTCAGTGTGCCGTGGGGCTGGGGAGGACCGGGGGGTTATGTGGGGTCAAAGAGAAGAGCTGGGTGCGATTTAGCTCCTGCAGGGAGGATGCTGTGGGGCTTCCAAGTGGGGCGGTTGGGGCCGCACCCCTGGGGTACAGGGAAGGGCAGGCAGAATGGGGCAGTAACTGAGGGCTCTGTCAGGTGCTAGAGGACTCCCGGGCTGTGCTCATCGCTGCCGACGTGCCTCCCGATGGACCATTCCCTCAGGATGAGAAGATAAAGGATGGTAGGTGCTCTCCTCTCCTTACCCCCTCCCTTTCCTAGTGCTCCGGTGCACTGCTGCCATTCCTCCTGAGAGCCCTGTTTACCCAGACCAGACCTGGGCTGGTCTCTGTCCATCAGGGACCTTACTGCTGTCTCTCTGACCCGGGCAGCCTGCCCGCTTGCCCTCACCAGTGGGATGGGGCTCGTGTGCCGATGGGGCTGGTGGCTCTCCCCACAGCGTACTCCCACGTGGTGGAGAACACGGCCTTCTTTGGGGACGTCGTCCTGCGCTTCCCCAAGATTGTGCACCACTACTTTGACCGCAATTCCAACTGGAACAGCCTCATCCGCTGGGGCATCGGCTTCTGCAACCTGACAGGCGTGTTTGAGCAGGGACCCCACTCCCAGGTCCTGGGGCTGGTACGGCTCCTGATCCCTTCCCTGCTGCTGGGGCTGGGGGAGGTGTGAGGTTTTGGGGATCAAAGGAGAGCATGGGGAGTGTACCCCATGTCTGAAGGTTGTCCTTGGGCTGAGGGATGAGGAAGAACATGGAGGGGGCTGGTGGGGAAGAAGAGACCATGGGGAGGTGCAGGTAGGAGCCACCACTTCCCGACGCAGTCTCCCTTTGCTCCACAGATGGCTCAGGAGCTGGGTATCAGTGAGAAATCGCCCGATTACCGCAATCCCTTTAAAGTGGACCACTCCGAGGTGAGACAGAAATGCCGCCAGCTCACCCCATGGGCTTCCCTGTCCCAGTTGGTGGCTAGGTGGGGAGCGGCCAAAAACCCCATCACAGAGGAAGCGTGGTTGAAACATGCCTGTCAAATTCCCCTGCTGGGCTGTGGTCAGCTTGGGGCATGTGCTGCCATCTCCTCCCTCCTGTGGCCCATGGGAATGTTGGGACCCCATTCCCCTTGTGCCGTGTTCAAGCTCAGCCCCCTGGCCCTGCTGGCTTCAGCGGGTTTGGGGTGGTTGTGCCTCCGGGAGGCTGCGGGGGCTCCCCCGTGCTGACCCCTCACTGTCACCCCACAGTTTTTCCCCAGCGCGGACACCTTCCAGAAGGCGCTGCGGGAGGAGGAGAAGCGGAGGAAGAAGGAGGAGAAGCGGAAGGAGATCCGCAAGGGCCCACGCATCTCCCGCTCGCAGTCGGAGCTGTAGCTCCCTCTTGGAGGCCTCGTCCCGGTGCCTGGTGATCGCTTTCCGTTTGTGCCGTGGGGTTTTGTTTCATTGCCTTTCTCTTTGGTTCAGCCAGGGCCGGGTGGCAGTGCTGGTGGGTTGCCCCAGTGGGGCTGAGGGGGGCTGACGTGGGGTTCCCCTTCCCCAGAGCCAAAGCACAATCAGGAAGGCAGTGGGGCCATACCCATGGCATGTGGGGAAGTAGGGCGAGGGAGAGCCGGGGGATCCCCCCCCTCCACAGCACGCCCCGCACTGAACGTGCCTCCTCCGTCATGGTGGGCTGGGGAGCGTGTCACACCAAACAGCCTCATGAGCAACGCTGCTTCGCTCAGTTTTGGGGTGGTTCTTTTTTTGGTTAGACTGGTGATCTCATTGGCACCCCCGCCCGGTTATACCTGGTCTCTGCCCAGCCGCTACCTCTGCCGGAGCAGCTCTTCCCTCTTCCCGGTGCCTGTTTCAGCAAGCAACGTGTTTCATCCGTCAGCTGTCGTTGGAAAGGCTGACGGCATCTGTTCCTGGCCCAGCAACATCCTGCTCTCCTGGGCGAGCATTCCCAGAAGGGAGGCAAACGTGGTGAATCGCTGGAAAGGAGGGATTTCAGTTCTTTGCCTTCTTTGCAGCTGATGGGTGTGCATAGTGCAGGTACCGCTGACGCTGATGGTGCTGGGGAGCCATCCCTGAGCCCTGTGAGCCCGTCCTCCCACCCATAGTGTCTGTGCTGCAGGGAGATCAGAGGCAATGGCCTGGCCTTGGGACCCTGCACAACAATCCTGTGCTTTCCCGTGGTTGCTGATGAACTGGCAGCAGGCGAAGCTCTTGCAGAGGGACTGTCCTCCAGAAGCAGTTGCTCTGTGCCTGCCTGGGGCACCACGGCCTTTGGGAAGGGGGGAACGTCCTGAATGTTTAAGCGTGGAGTCAGGTCTGTCAGGCTGGGGGTTGGCAACGGGTGCGTGTTTTGTTTTAATGGAATAAACTTGACTTTATTTTTTTTGTATTAAGTAAAAGAAGGTTGGCTCTTGCTCCTCTTCCTGGTGAGAGCCGGAGTGTGCCGGAGGGCGGCGGGTCAGGCCCCCCAGGAGACGGGGGTCCGTGAGTAGCTGCTGAGGGAAGGAGGTGCCAGCGGGGCGCGATCCCCATCACCGCCGCCTTCATCCCCTCCAAGCCGGGGAATGGGATCCGTGCCCCGACGGGTGTCCCGCAGGCAGAAGCGAGACCGCAACTCCGGGCCCGCTCCACGGGTGCCCGCAGCGTGCGACTTCCCGCCTTTGTCACTCCCCCCTCATGAATATTCCAATGAGGGGGCGGAGCACCGCATGCTAATCGCAAGCTGCTGATCGCTGACGCACCATCACACCACGCGCCGCAGCGGCCGCGGATTGGCCGGTGCCGACCTGGTCTCATTGACAACAAACCGCGGGGGGCGTGGCGGGGGGCGGAGCCTCTGCGCTGTCGGGGCGGCCGAAGATGGCGCGGGGTTGGCGGCGCGCACCGGCAGCCTCCGCTTGAGCGCCTGCGGCGGGGTTCATGCGCCGGAGCGCCGGGCCGCGGCGGGGCCCAGCGCCATGGAGGGCGGCGAGCTGGGCGTGGAGAGCATGGACAGCCTGACCGAGCTGGGCGACGAGCTCACCCTGGGCGACATCGACGGTGAGCGCCGCGGGAAGGGAAGGAAGGAAGGGGAGGGAGCGAGCGAGCGAGCGGCGTGGTGGGGGCGTTGCTGCCGAATTTCTCCCCGGGCCCGGGGTGCTGGTTCCGCACGGGGAGGTTGGATAAGTGCGTGGATCTCTCTCCGTGTCGTGTCCCCCTTCCGCCCCGGTGGGGAGCGGGGTGGTCGCCCCACTGTGGTCCCGCTGCTCGGGTCGCGGTCCCAGCACGCGTGGGGTGTCCCGCCGGGCAACGCTAGCCTGGCGAATGGCACGCGTGTCTCCCCGCGTGGCACGGGCGGCCGGTGACGGTTCCCACCCGGCATCGCCTCACAGCCGCTCCCAGGGGCCTGGGCCACGCCGGGGGGGTCCCTCCCGGGGGGCAAACAGTGCTGCCCAGGGCCCCCCCGTGTGTCCTCGGTGCTGCACGATGGCCGGAGCTGTGCTGCCACTCGTGCCTGTGGGAGGCCGACCCTTATCCCCCTTCACCGAAACAGGTGTAACTGCTTAAATTTCACCTCCCCCCCCCCAATTTCCTTATTTTTATCCCAAAACTTCACCCGTCGATGGCAGAGCTCAGGCTCGCTGTGGTTTCCACTGAAGCGCAGGAAAGTGAAACGCTCCCGTGCAGCGCCTCGCCAGGAGTTTCCCAAACAGCTCCTGAAAAGAAAACCCATTACAAATGTAATTTCTCGATGAGCTGTCTGCTGGAGATGGGGACCTGGCTCCATTCCGCTGCCCTGCTCGGCTGTAATCCCAAAGAGAGCTCAGCTTTGGGGAGCCGATGGCCAAAGCATTCTTATTTAGCAGCTGGGAGGTAAAACTGAAGCAGTGCTTTTGAATTTCTAGTTGTGATTGATCTGCACTGTGGAGGGGGGCAAAATGTGTACCCTCCTGCTTTTAATGTATCACATGTAAAAGGAGAGTCCCTTGTGAGAACATAAGGCGCTTAGTTATATCACTCTTACAGTTGGTGCTAACGAGAGGTGGTGTTTGCTGTGGTTAAAGCACCAAGTAATGACTTCTCGGGATCCATATGGAAACAGAGTTCTGATGAACGTGGAGCCACGGTGTGCCCGGGGAGGTGTGATTCAGAGCGATGAGTAACTGAGGAAAAGGAGCTTCGCCCTCCCTCCTCCCCGGCTCCCAGGGTGGATGTTCCTGGGGGGCGGTATATGGCAATCCTGCTTTTTGGGGGCTTTTTTTTTTACGCTCCATTTGTCATGGATCCATCTCAAGGTTTGAAACTTTGCGAGGGCTTTGATTTGGTTTCAGGTTGTCTTGTTGGCAGGTCTTGGTGTTCCTCTCCCCTCCAGGCTGAGGGACCCTCGCTGCCTGATTTTCATGCTTGGCAGTGGAGGAGGAGTGACGCTGACTGGGTGGATGCACCAACTGCTCTGGGGTGTCGGTGTTCACCAGGATGCTGCTCCAGGATGGGGCATGAGGCTGATTGGGGGTTCCTGGTGCTGAGCTGGCTCTACCTCCTGCCCCGGCACAAGCTCCCCCACCAGCCACTGGCAGGGCAGTGCTGGAGAGCGAGGCCTGAGCTGGTGGTTGGTATGAAGCATGTCTTGGTTCAGGGTGGATGAGTTGTTTGTCTAGGTTGGGATCTCCACTGCTTTCCATTCTCAAAGCGCCACGTCTCCAGGAGCATGAGGAAGAGCAACCCATGTGCAGGAGAGCTGAGCCACTGCCTAGGAGAGGCAGCTAAAGCCCAGCACTTGCCTCTCTGCCAGATATTTTGGCCACTGGGCAGTGAAAGTGCTCGGTGGGTTTGGTTTCACAATACCTTATGGACACCTTTTAGCCTTGGTCTGGGCTGGGGTAGTTTCCTGCAGTGACATCTCGCTGTGTTAGGGGCCAAGACCCCTTCAACACAGAGGGTGTGGATGATATGGCAGTGATGGGTTTACCACCGACAGTTGTTCTCCAGAAGAGACACTCTCCCTGTTCTCTGTGTAGGCAAAGGTGTTTTAAAGAAAGGCAGAGATTTGGATTTTGGGTGTTGCTGTTTCTCTCACTTTTGATTTTTCTTGTGCTGCTACTAGGAAAGCTCTTGGGCACTTTAAAAGAGGTGGGTTGGATCCTCTGGCAGTCTAATTCTTTAAGATTAATCATTAGACATGTTGCACTTAGTCAAAGTGAAGTCTGATAAAGATGTGATTTAACTCATGACAGCAAGAGTAGTTTCTTTTACTAAGATATTCAGTCTGTATTGAACATGATGTTCTTTAAAACACAGTACTTGAAATTTGGCTCTTACACTGGAATTTACTTTTCCAGAGAAAATTGTGTCCTGTCCCCACTTGGGGTAGTGCTGTCTGGTAGTGAAATAGCAGTGCCATCAAATGAAGGTCTGGAGAAGTACATAGTTGGGAATATCAAGTTTATTGTGTTGAGGGTTGTTTGGGATGGTCTTAGCTACAGTCGGTTGGGGGGTGAAAAGCTCTTAGTATCCACCTAGGTGTTACGCAGGAGCATTAAACAGCTCTCCTTGCCCCAGTAGGGTTTTTGGAAGTTTACTGAGGTGCTGCATTAAAAAAAAAACCTAAAATCTCTCATTTCTCTAGTTAAAAGTGGAGACAGAGTTTTGGTCCAGCTGGTCCCTGAGGGCGGCTGCTGCTCCATGCTGGGGAGCTGCATCCCTGCTTAGCGTTGGGTTATAAATAGGTCAGGAGGACACATCCCCTCCCAAGCTTCTCCATGCAACAGACCTGAGTTCTTAGAGCAGTGGTCATCTCTGAGGGTGTGGAAAGATTGCTGTTGGAAGGGGAGTAGTATCATGGAGATAAAGCAACATGGTGAAACATTCATTGAGATAGCAGGAAGCTTGGAGGACAATCCCTTTGCTTTGCTTCAGGAGCATCAGGCAAATTGACTGTATAGCATGTGGGTGGCATTTCGGAGTAGCAGATGAATAGCTCTCTTATTGCTGGGACGATGTCCACGGAAACAGTGGAGAGTTTGCTTCTCCAAACCCCCTTCATAAACCACAGCAGTGGCATCTTTCAGGTTTGTGGATGAGAGAGCTCCTGGTCTAAGGAACCCTCTGCTGTATTTTTTCCTATAAACCACAAAGCTATTTTCTAGCTTCTAAACCCAGATTCATGATTTAGTTATAAACCCTCTGTTACGTTTGTGGGTCCCCTCCCTTTTTTTCCTACTTCCAGAAGAAAAACAAACATGGCTTTCAGAGAACAGTGGTGGAGCCAGTGCAGCCTGGGCAGATCCTGGGGTGGGGATGGATGTCTGACTCCTCGTGCTACCTCCCACACAGAACGGGGGAAGCATTCAGGTAGATTAGGTACGTAATTGGATTACATTGGATTAGATGGAGAGAAAAAGAAGCTTCACTTATGAACAATGATCTCTTGGTTGTGCATTTCTTTTCCTGTGGGGGGAGAGCTGTAGTGTTGTGGTAGCACCCTCTCAATGTGGGCTGAATAAGTCCTGGAGAAGGTGGGATGGAGATAAACTGCTGTGCAGTGGTTGCGGGCAGGGGTAAATAGGCAAAAAAACAACACCGAAGGTTATTCTGGTTGTTTAAACACTTGTGTGGATTTCTCCTTCTTTCAACACTTCCATAAGGTGGTGTTTCCTTTAGTGTGTTTTCTCCAGTTTCTGGTATGCTTGAAAGTAAAAACAAAGTTAAGGTGAATTCTTGTTCCATTTCTTCATTTTCCAGATACTCATTGGGGCAGGAAGGTTAGGGGGCTGGAAGGCACCCCAAAAGCTGAGTGGGAGAAAGGTTAGTGCTGGATTTACAAAGGTGCTTGGTTTCTTCCTTCTGCAAGGGTTAGACTGGAGCAGTGGTGGAATGAGAGTAGCATTTTCAGTATGTTGGAGATGGAGAAGTTCTAGTCTGTGCTTGGATCTTGTAGTCTGGGAAGGTGGTGGAGGAGGGTCCTGCCCTTTGCTCTGAACAGTGAGAGGCAGGTGGATGCTGGCCACCCCTCGGTTTCTGTGTGGAGGTGTTCAGTTGGTGTGGTATGTTCTCTGGAGGTTTTGAAAGACCCAGAGCTCCCTTCTGTTCAAGCACGCCATCATCCAAGTCCTGATGTAGTGGTGGGTGTCAAAGCGTGCGGGCAGTAAACCAGCGCTGAACGCGTTTCCTTCTGTTTTACAGAGATGCTGCAGTTCGTCAGTAACCAGGCAGGGGACTTCCCAGATCTGTTCTCGGATCACTTGTGTGGCACCTTCCAGGGCGGCAGCAGCAGCAACGGTGGGACCCTGGAGCCGCAGCTGCAGCGGCCCTACAGCCAAGTGCAGCTCCAGCCCTTCCCGCCGTCCCCTGCGTCCCCCCAGCTCCAGAGCCTGCCTGCCAAAGTGGCACAGGCGACACCTCCGGCCCCTTCGCGCTCAGCCCC